ATGATTTAACAGTTCATTTCTTGTTATATATTTATCTTTATAAATAAATATATTAAATTATCAGCAATTTGGTTTTCTCTCTCTAGAGAACCCTTGTCTAACACAACCAGCCTTCATTTGCTCACGCTCCTGCCCCTCAGCTTCTTTGTGCTCCTCTCCTGGGTCCAGTCTTAACCTGATCCTCTGAGGTGATTTGCCTGTACATTTATATCTCAAGTGTGGGAAATACTAATCATTCTACAGAAGCCCTGGTTACTTGTTGGGCTGCAATTCATAAGGTCAGCAGTTCAAAAACTCTAGTCTCTCTGCTGGAGAAAGATGAGATTTTCTACTCCCGTAAAGAGTTATAGTCTAGGAAACCCACAGGGACAGTTCTACCCTGTCCTATGGGGTCTTTATGAGCTGGAATTGACTGGATGGCAGTAAGTTTGAGTTTGTACAATAGGTACCTCAATCAACATGTCCAAAACTGAGCTGATCTTACCCACTGTGAGTCTCACCCCCAACCACTCAGTAATTGCCAATCTGTCAGGGTACCTGCCCTAACACATCATCACGGGTCTGTTAGGTGCAATTATACAGCGATAATAAGTAAAGTCATAGAGAGCATGAGAGATAGAAGAGAGATTGAAATAATGGAGTCAGACACAATTCATGGTAGCAATGCTCACCTCAGCCTCACTTGGTGGTCCATGTGGAGAGAGCGATTTATTGCTAACCAATGCTTTTATATTCTCTGGGGAAATGCAAGCCCCCTAAATACAGGTGAAGACATATATCACAGGAAAGAGTTGTGCTATAGGTAATACAGTAATGGGAGGGGGTGATCTAAGGGTATACATATAATATGAAGGGGAAGCATTGGGGGTATACATGTGATAAGATGGGCGGATCCTAGATTCAGGATGGCAGCCTAACTTTGGATGTCCCTGAGCTGGTTTGGCCTGTTTTCTGACTCACTATAGAAACCATTATCAGTATGGTGTAAAACTCCACCTAAAGGCACTAAATTGATGACTGTAAGTAAGCCTTTAGGGAGAAGTAGCCCTTTGCCTTTAACAGCAGGGAGGGGACCCTACCAGTCCAGACAGTTGTTTGGCAACTGACTGCTGTCAGGGAGGTAACTAGACCATCATTTACCATTAGTTGCAAGCAGTGTCCTAAGTCTAACACATTTGGGGGAGAAGACTTGGGATAAATCTTTCTGTTTCCCTCACAAATCCAGTATTTCAGTTGCAATGAAGATACCATTGCTTCTTTATTCATAACATTCAGTCTACAGACAAGGTTGAGTAGCCATGATTCATCACCAGCTTCACTGCCATAAAGTGCAAAGTTCCTAAAACGCTCCCTTTCCACCCTCTGACTTCAGCAACCGTCACTCACCACCTGCTCGCTCCCCCTGCCCCTCAAACACAACAGTGTGCACCAGCCTAAGGGCCTGTGCACCTTCAGGTCTCTTTCCCTAGGCCTTAGCATGGGTGTGTCCTTCCTTATTCTGACAAAGTCAAGTCTCAATTCTCATCTCAGTGAGACTTCCTGTGATCATTTACTTCAAATTTTAACTTTTTTCCCTTCCACCCTTAATTCTTCTCTTTAACATATCACCATAGATTTTTGCTTTTGTTTTCGATAACTTTGCTTGGTAGATGGAAAAGGAGCCCCAGTCTTATGGTTGGCGGTTCACCCCACTGAGCTGCCCTGCAGGGTAAAGGCCTGGCAGTCCATTCCCATAAAGATCGCAGGCCAGGAAACTCTATGGAGGGAATCGACAGTTTCTTGGGGGGTCGCCATGAGTAGAAAACGGATTGGGAGTGACATGACAGCAATCTCCAATCCACTGCCATTGAGCCGATTCCCACTGATAGCATGCAACACTGGAGAGCAGAGCCGAACCTCATCATTCTCCCGCCGAACAACTCTCAAAAAACCCCAAACTCACTCAGGAGGAAAACACAAAGGCAAAGGTTTTTGTTCGCTTTCTATCGCTGATTCTTTAGACCCTAGACCTGGATCGGATCCCAAACGGGTGCTCAATATTTGTTGAGCAGCAGGAAGAACAAAAGTTACCGTGTGCTACGTTATCACATTCATTATTAAACCACCAACGCGCCAACACAGGACTGAGGAGGCCCGGGTACACAGCAACGCCACACATTAGCTGCTGTTGCGGCGGCCGCTTCTCAGAAATAATAAGAATTAAGCTCCCCAGAGCCAACATCCCACGGTTGATAACCCCGCCTACGACTATTAGGCCACTGGGGGAGCTGTGACCCACCTGCGCGCAGCTTCCCCGTCTCGGCTCACACTGGCTGGGAGGTTCTCCCGCCCACTGCGCTCGGCGAAGGCCCACTGGCTGCCCGCGAGCGCCCCGCTCTGGTAGCGGCCGCCCGAAGCCTCCGAAACGCTCCTGCGTCGTCGCAGCGTGTGACGGAAGCACTTCCGGAGAGAACCCGGAGCGGATTGGGCGGGACTTCCGGTTAGAGCGGAAGTCCGGACGGCCGGGTGAGTCAGGGCTAGGGAGCGGTGAGCGTTTAGCGGTGGCTGTGAGCGGCCGTTGGGGAAACCTGGCGACCTGGAGGGACCGGCGCGGCAGCCGACAGAGGGCTGGGCTGCCTGGACGTCTGGGGGAGCGAAGGGCAAAGGAGTGTGTGGAGAGGACGACTTCCGTCTGGGAAGCTGCAGAGAATTATCTAGGGCTGTAGCATGGGAAAAAATGGCTCTCCTGCCCTAAGGTAAAGTGCGAGTTTTAGGAAGTGTAGTCCTGGTTCGAGTTCCGGTACTGTCTTCAGCTATGTGGCCTCGAATCTGCCCCCAAACCTCTTTGACCTCGGGTTGGTTACACATGGGAGAATAACAGACCAGAGTCACCTTTTTCTCATAGGGCTTGGAAGGATAAGGTGTGAGGAAGAGCTTCATAAATTGCATAAATTGAGGCACCTCTCAGTCGTTTGCAGGTAACTCTCTGAGCGCCAGTGGCAGTGATCAACGCAATATACTTTCCCTAGGAAAAGGGGCTTTTCTGGGATTAAGCTCCCAGGAAGCAGTTCAGTGGTATTTGTGAAGATTTCAATGTAAATTGAAAAGTCATTGACCACTGGAGATGTCAAAGAAGGCACCAAATCTCTCTTTAGGATGTGTTAGTCCCTTCTTGTAGCAGTACACATTACATCTCCGCCTTTGAACGTCTCCAGTTTGGGGGACCTTAATATGCTGTGTCCTCTCCCCATGACTTCCCATTACAGGATTATAGGCACCTCTAATTAAGAAGCCCTTGCTTGACTCCAGAGGCAAAATAGTTTTTGAGGACAATGAACCCAAACTGGTTCTACTTACTTTGTTTCTGAACCTTGAGCAAATATAAAACAATAAACCAAAAATAAAACACAGGTTAAAGATGGATGTGATGAGCAGCAGTAGTGATATTTTGCAGAATTTGAGTTCAAAACACCAAGAACATTTTGGTTTTTGATGTTCGCAGTTTAAAAATTTGAGCATCAAAGTGCTCTATTTAGTAACTGTGACATGCTGTGTTACTTCATTGGCAGACTAAGTGGTAACTTCATTGGCAGATTAAGGAGGTGCCAATTTAATTAGTTGACATAGCATAGATGTTAGGATTCATTAAGTTACTTTTAGTTCCCTCAACATACTAGAGTGAGTAACTGGATTTCCTAGAGCAAAAGAGGCTCTTAACCAAGGAAAGGTTTGTTGATTTAATGAAAGACATAAAAATGTAAGTTAATAACATCTGGTTGCAGGTGATGCCATGGAGCATATCCTAATTTTCAATAGGTATTTCTAGTAGTATGTTATTTAGATTTTTAATTCATACGCCCACACCCCTCCTCTTACTCCCAACCAAAAAAGAAGCAGCAGCAGCAATGATATAAATGGAGGTTAAGGTCTTTGTGATAGTTGGGGTTTGTGCTCCCCTGGCTAATCCAGGATTCTCGGTGGCTTGGACCATAAAGATTAAGTAGACCCCAGTGTGGCCTAACACAATGTAATATTTTTTATAATGAGATCTGCTATGAGCAGCCAGTCAACTGGAAGGAGAGTAGGGTGGGTCAGAACACCTTTGTTAAGATCATTACCCTGATGCTGTTTTCTCGGGGATGTGGCCTACTTCAAATTAAGTTGGGTGGTATAGAAAATACTGCTTTTTGCTGGGTCTGGATCTTACATTTAGCTCATTGGTCGCTGGCTCCTTGGAGTTGAACCAACAGCCTAGCATATTCATCAATAGCCTGCCATCTGACTTTGGATTCATTCACTTCTACAGCCACAAGCCTGACTGCTGATCTTGGCTTCATTCACTTCTGCTGCCACCACCTGCAGTCTTCCTGCTGATCTTGGGTGCATCAGTCCCTGAAGCTACTGAAGCGTACAGCCTAACATCTGACCCACAGATTTGTAAACTACCCAGACTTGGATCTTTGTGTTACCAAAAGCAGAGGTGTGTGTCCTTCCTTTTGACAGAGGTTTCCTCTGATGCATCATTTATGAAAGAAGGAAGCAGAAAGAGTGGGTTGAAAATGGGAGATTCCATTGGGAGGGCAGGTAAAGTGTGATGGGTACTCCTAAATAGAAACCACTGTGTGTTGAGGTAGTGACAACAAGGTTGTGATGAGTCATTGCTCAGAGTCATTGCTGAAGAAGCTTCTTTAAAGATAAGACAGGGCTGTTGTCTCCGCAGGCCCGTCTGGATAGGACAGGCTGGATGAACAATCTGGAGGAGAAAACAACGGGACTGACAGTTCC